GGCTTTGTTTAGACAGTGAGAGGTTTTTGTTTTTTATTACTAAGTCTATCTATGCTAATACCTTAACTATTGAGTGTGCATTACCAAGTGTATAATGCTCTCACACACTTCGTGTATATGTTTTTTGTGCTTTATGTTTTCCCTATTCTAACCTAAACCTAATCTACTCTAAGTGTGCGTGTGGTGGCGTGTGCATTCCCGGGTGTATAGTACCTCTACACACCCCGGTGTATATTGTTCTTATGTACTACTTTTTTGGTGCTCACTGTCTAAAATACTCTGTAGATGACTCTGTGTCTATCTCTTTCTTCATTTATCCTTCTTCTCTATATCCAATTAGTTGTTTTGGTCGTTTATGTACCGTTCTTGTGTTTATATCGTAGTTAGTCAACTCTCTTAATGTCCTGCTTGGATGGTTTACGAGACCATTGAAAATAGTGTGTGCTCTTTCGTCTATTGTCCTTAGTATTCTTTTCTGTCCAGAGTCCCTAAATAAGTACCTCGGTGGGACGTATTGAGGTAAATTTAGAGCTTCTCTGATTATCCAGTTTTGTGTTGTTTGGATTTTCTTCCTGTTTGTTTTATATGTGTGTCCCCATGTGGCAGATGCATATGTTAGAGAAGGTAGTATTATGCTATTAGCTACCCTCAATTTTGTCTTGAAACGAAGTTTGCTCCTTCTGCCGATTAGCAAAGCGAGTTGACTTCTTAGTGCTTTTGCTTTGTAGACAGTTTGTTTTACGTGTTCTGTAAAAGGAAGTTTCCTGTCTAAGATGAATCCGAGGTATTTAGCTTCGTTCGTCCATTCTACAGGGATGTTTTCAATAGATAATCTCCATGTCAAGCCTCTTTTTTCTGTATCTGTACATAACGGTCTGCGTCTTGTCAGGATTTGATGCAATTTTCCACTTTATGCACCATCTTTGGAATCTATTCAGAGCGCTTTACAGGTGGCTGGCAGCTAAGTTAGGATCTGTACTGCTAGCTGCTATGGCAGTATCGTCCGCGTATACACTAATCACAGTTCTGGGGTCTGTCGGAGTGTCAGCTGTATAGATAGTGTATGCATAGATACGGCTATAACACCGCTCCCTGGGGCACACCTGCTTACAGGGTCCCGAGTTCGGATAAGGTTAAACCTATTCGAACTCTGAACCTTCTGTTAGCTAGGTATGACGCAAGGAGACATGTCATCGCTTCACTATAGCCTGGGTTGCTCATTTTATAGAGCAGACCTTGATTTCATACCCTATCAAAAGCTTTACTTACGTCGAGGAACGCCGTTGCTGTGTACAACTTTCGTTAAAGCCTTGATAATGTGTTCCG